CATCTCTATGATACAGCTTTACTCTAAGGCAGAAAAACTATTATAGCACCTTAGTTTTTCATTGTACACTTCATGTAAAACCAATACTCCTCTATTTATAAGGAAATTTCTTCTATTGGGAGTCTGTTCTTCTGAATAAAGAGAATACTAATCCCTTATAGTTCTCTTTTTACAATGCTTGGTCCTAGGGCAAGTTTCCATTTCTGTTTTATTATTATTTTTTGCCTGTACAACAGTGAGATGTTTGGAGGAAAAATATTTAGAGTAAAAACTTTGAGAGTAATAAAACCTATTGTTATATATATTGTTATCAACAGGGATGTAATCACATAGGTTTGCAAAAGTGTCATTTCCACACTAATGCTCTATTGCTCCTCAGTGTCTGTTCCCATCGTCACATCCAAACGAGTTTAAAAGCAAACAGTGTAAAAAAAGTGTCACAAGCAGTTGACCACTGGACGAAACAAAATAGATGCATCTGACTCAAATACTAGCTAAATAAACAGCTATGAGAAAAAGAATACAATAAGTCTGGTATCTATTATCAACATTTCATGGTGTCTCAAAATATAATTTAATATTCTGTTCAGCTTTTTTTTTTATTGCATTGTCATGTGTATAAATGCATGTGGTTAACAGCACAGCCTCCTTGCTTTTTAATATGGTTTTGAATGCAATTTGTCAGGTTTGTTTTGTTTAACAAGCCAGGTCTCTATCTTATACTGAGTTAAGCAGGATGGCAGAAATAACATTTAGATTTCCACTGTCGTTATTTAGAGTGGACTTGCCTCACTTTTAAAATCAAATCACAATAAATATCGTTGACGATATAAATTACTAGTAACAAATTTATACTGACATTAACAGATATTTATTGTGAATTGATTATTACAAATTAACATAAAATTTGTTTTTAAAGAATTAGCTTTAACTATTTTTTTTCACAAAATGGACTTGCCTCACTTTCAAAATCAACAGCTCAATTAACTAACAGTCACAATCAAAAATATTGTAATGCTTTCTTTACTATTAAACACCATTAGATGAGGACATCTTTTTGGCAAAATATTATTGTCATCTGAGCTATCCTATTTGACCTTAATCTGAAATATTGACATTTTCATCATTTTTCTCTACTTTTTTTTTATTTATAAAATCTGATATTATCATTTGCTTGGGTTTGCCTAAGAGATCTTTAAAAATTTAATCTTTTTATGTAGTAACTTTTAATTTACTCTATAAAAACAAAACACAATGACAGTCTTTCAATGTCATTTAGAGCAGTGTTTTTCAATTTTTTTATCACAGACCTATAAAACTATGGATAATTTTATGTGGATCAAGTAATTATATTCCACTATGAATTATGCTTATTAATTCTTAGATTGAATTACTGTATGTAACAAAGTATGTACAGTAACTCTATATTATTATTTAAATGTCACCTGTAATCAACTACACCAACTTGAGTATGGTCAAATATTTTTCTGCTGATCAATGAAATTTTTTTTGCACATGCACCGATCTGTGGATCAGTGTTTGAAAAACACTGATTTACAGCACTATCACCAGTGATAGTGACACCTGGTTTATAGGAAAGCTAGAATAGGAAGCTAGGACGAGGAAGAAGAAAAATTGTACAATCAGTTCTCATTAAAGAAAATGGGGTAAAATGCTTGAAATGGAATTTGAAAATTTCAATATTCTAAAATCCATGGGCAACAATATGCATGCTTTCTTGAATAAAGAAAAATATCAAATGATGTTTCTTGTGATTTTTTTTTTAATATATGGTCTCCAATTCCTTAACTGTGTTGTTAGAATGCTGTGTTGTAAGAGGGTATACCTGCACTTCATTTGCAAAAAAAAAATATGCAAAAATAATATAAAATAATAAAATTCATTTAAATAAGTTTTTTCAATGTAGATTTTCACATTACGCCTACTTTTTGTTTTATTTTTTGATCAACTAGTTTTATTCAGTTTTGATTTTGTTTTTCTGTATGGGTGATGTGTCTTGGATTTGTTGTGTAAAACAAAGACATGGATCATAAAAGAAAACAAAGAGCTTTAGATTTATATTTTAGATTTAGATAGATGGATAGATGTATTGTTTTTACAAGTTTATTAAAAATCTGGCTTGCATACTTTACAACTGAAATTTTGTCTGATAAAAATTTGAATTTTAGTGGTTATTAAGCTCTTATATTGGCTTCTGATCTGAGGACTTGTAACACCTTTTGGGAAACATTTTCACTTGGACACCAAGAGAAATTTTTATTGGCTGTTCTACTTTATTAAATATGCAGTTTGAATAGTTATGTCTCTCTTCGGTTCAAAGTACAGTAGAGCATCGATTATCTGAAACAATTCAGTACTGGGGTTGCTCAGATAACTGATCATTTACAAAAAAATATATTAAACACAAAACTGTACTGTATATAATTTTTATCGCACGTCTTACAAATACATACCTTACATAATGTAATACATTAAACTAGGCCTACAGTTCATTTTGGCAAGGAGGGGAAGAGTGTTGCAATGCCATAGCCCTAGTGGAGATTTGAATTTGCTGACTGGAACACTTTCGGTTAACCAATGTTTTGGTTGATCAGTATTCAGATAATCGATGCTCTACTGTAGACTGCAACTACATTACATTTAAAAAGATGGAAAATTAAAATTATAGTACATCTATATAAAAAATTATTTTTGATTTTACTACTTTGCATAAATATAAGGTAAAATAAAATAGAAAAAGCTTAATTTTGACTGTAGTGGTCAGTTTTACAAAAAAATTGTAAATGCTAATTTAGATTATGCTCGTTATTAAGTCTGACTGCTCATGAGATATGACACATGATAGCCCTCTATTTCCCCACTCCCTTGACCTTTAACAATCAAAATTTAACAGCATTAATGCCCCTCACACACAAAGCTACTGTACCAAATTTTGTTTCTTCATCTTTATCCAATCCCATGATATTAAATGAAATAGACACCAATACACTCATGCAATTGTGCACACATATCCACAAAATTCCTCTCCTCTTTTTTTTACTTTTTTGGGTTCAGGAGGTCGCAAAATATAGAGATTTGCAAAAACTCTGAGGGGCAAATTTGACACTATTCCAACACTTTCTCTTGTTAAGTAAACATAACAGCTGGGAAAATAAAACTTACTGATTAAATAACTTATTATTCCATCTTCACTTTTTGTAGGCTTATTACTACACTTCCAAATGCAGCAGATGACAGTTTTTCATTGTAACATGTAATGCTAAATCAAAAACTTTTGTGTCTTCTGAATGGAATTTAAAAAGGGTATCACCACAATGGTGGCTTCCAGAAAGTTTTCTTTCTTTCTGGTTTCAGTCTTGTGACATCATGTCCATTCCTATATAGTATAACCACCTTGGTTTTTGATGAGTTCATCATATCTATTTCTCATAATAAGATGGTCCATTATAGTATATGTGTATTTGGTGAAAAAAATTATGCACCCTATATGCAACTAAGATGGATGCCACAGATGATTTGTATTATTTGGTAAGTCCTTTGTTATTTAAAAACTTTTCCCACATTTGGTGTGATAAGTCTCTGTAGTGTAATTTTTTTCCTTCTTGTCCTGCAAATTTTTAAAAAATAAACTGTTAAATTTTTCACTATCCATTGCAATACACAACAATATGAAATTATAAAGACTCATATGAATTTGTACAAAAAACAAACTGGTTTGAATGACCATCTTGTTCAGAAGTGTTCAGGCATTATCTGAAAAACAGTATGCATGCACTATAAACACTGTTGTAACATTTGTATAGTTTTGCTGTTCTGCTGAATGAATTAAAAGTCTTTTGTCAGAACACATATCCACTGTAACTATACCCTAACTATTCTAGTATGATTTATTTTTGACTGTATTTTATGTCAGGTATTGTAATAAAATAATAATAATATTTAATTTCAATTTGTGTAAATAAATTAACAAATGATATCATTACAAAATCTTTTTATCTTAGAAAAGAATCATTCTACAGACCAGTGATCACAAACCTTTCTGACCTCACAGACTATCAAACTCCTAATTTAGTCCTACGGACCACTATCATGGATTCTTTTAAAAAGATAAATGTATCATAAAAGTTCCATTTTACTTTATTATACTTTATTAATAATTAATTAATATGAAATTCGCTTGTTTAATTATAATAAATTAGTCTGAAGTTCGTTGCTGCATGTTTGAAATTAGTTTATGGATTCTTGGCTCATATTAAGAAAGGATGACAATCACACTCACAACATTATTTATTATTGACTGTTGTCAATAAATCAATAAATAATCATTTCATATTTGGTTTTAAATTTGAATTAAAAAACTCTCAATGAGTGAGAAAAATCAAGCAAGCATTTTGCATTTCTTTCATAATACTTTGCATAACCTTGAGTTGATCAATGTTCAAATTTTTCCATGGACTATCAAAATTTTCTTGTGGACCATTAGTTGACAAGCTGTTATAGACAATATTTATGAAATGCCAAGTAAGAAGAATAAAAACATTAAACAGACAATTTAATGTTTTTATTATATTTTATTTAATGTCATATATATATTATTTTAAGTGTTTTAGTAAAAGAACAGAACATCTTTAATAAATGTAAAGTTTTAGCAAATTAAATAAGGTAAGTAAAAAAAAATAGGAAAACATTAATGATAAATAAAAATTAACACTTGAAAATAAAAGCAACATTTGAAATGTTCTTAGTGAGAAAAATGGATGAGAAATGTTGAAAGAAACTTTTTCAATTTGAAAAAACAGTAGAAAAAAATCATGTTTAATTTTTTGTTTATTGTAATAAATAAAATGTAAAATTAGATAAATACAAATTAATTATATTTACTTTGTAAAAGTTTTGTGTAATAATAATTTTAATCAGATAACAATTTTAAGTTAAATGATTTAAATTAAACTATAACTGTTTATGTAAATAACATGCAGGGCTGCTTGGGAATGTGAGGATAGCACATACAGTAGTACAAGTGAAGCAGAACTAGATAGTGATCATGAAACAGATAATGAATTGGATGATCCACAGAAATTACTTGGGACGTGGCTTGGTGAATTAGAAAATTTGAAATTAGTAAGTACTTTAATATACGAATTTAATATGTAATTAGTATCTCTGTACACAAATATATAATCTTGATAAAACACTTGTACTGGATGAAATAGTAAAAATAAATACATAAACCTTTAAAACCCAGCATTACTTTTTAATAACAAACAAACAAACTTTTCCAAACTACAAAAATAACAAAACCCATTGAAAACATTTAAAGAGCTAGAAAATGTTTTAATTGTGGAAAGTAATGTTTTTATAGAGTATCTTTTACGAAAACACTTGATATTAACTCAATATGGGACAACTGAACTCAGTATTGTTCTCTTACAGCTTATATATTATTTAATTATTATATTGTTTTCAAGTAATTCATGTTAGTTAACTTAAGTATCTTTCAAATTCCTTATTATGCGGGTCTCTCATTCACTGCTTGTCAAATCATTTTTGAGAATAAAACTATTTGTTTGACTAATAAAATTGAGTGTGCATTCATCAAATTATGAAAGAGCTGCTCAAGGTTCTTCATCTGGCTTAAAGTGATATTTTCTGGTGGCACTTCAAATATCTGCTTATTGGTAGGCAGTATATCAATGAACACTATAAGCTGGACATTTTTCCTCATCAGTAAGGTGCAAATTATGACATTTCACAACATTAAGGTAGTTCAAATCTTGTAATCATTTGAGCAAAAAAAATCCTAGTGCTTGTTGTTCTACCAGTATCATTCAAAAAAAAAAAAAATTGACAATGAACTTAATATTGTATTGTAAATACAATATTAAGTTCATTGTCAATTTTTTTTTTTTTGAATAATACAAGCAGTGAATGAGAGACCCGCATAATAAGGAATTTGAAAGATACTTAAGTTAACTAACATGAATTACTTGAAAACAATATAATATTGAATGAATTTAATATTGAATACAATGAACTTAATATTGTATTTTCAATACAATATTAAGTTCATTGTCTTTACTTAATATTAAGTTCATTGTCTTTACTTAATATTAAGTTCATTGTCTTTACTTAATATTGTATTTACAATACAATATTAAGTTCATTGTCAATTTTTTTTGGATATATATAAGCTAATATATTTAGTAACTTCTGTTCTCAAGAAGTGAGAATGTGTCAAAATGATTTAATTTGCTGTACACAATGAGCACTAGATGCTACATTCAAGGATTCAGCTTAATGCATTTGAGTAGGCCAGTAGGCCTACATTTCAAATAAATTGAAGTTGGAGTGTAGCACAGAAAATTTACGATCTTAATATTTCTGACTTCAGCAAAAGTTCAAATCTTTCTTGTACAATTGTAACTTCAAAAATAATTAAACTTTTGCCTATTTAAATGTTGTTCTCAAAATGTAGTCAAATTTTTCTGCATTCAAAAGGGAATAACTACTTATTTATTATTGACTTATTCGAAAATTGTGTCTTTTAATTATCTTTACTTCACAACTTGGTGCATTGGTAGACACTTAGCATCTTTAACATCACTCTTTATTAGGAATATTTTGCACACTGATATGCATTTCAAGCATACGTCCCTCTTCTGCTGGCTTTTTCTTTAAGACATTTGGTAATTTAGTAATTAGTAAAGAAAAAGTTGATGGAAGAGGGGCATATGCCCGAAACACATATTGGTGTGTAAGATATTCCTGAATAGAGAGTGATAATAAAGATGCTCAGTGTCTACGTATGAACCCAATTATGAAGTAAAGAATAACTACTGATTTATTAAATCACAATTTTATTATCTCTGAAAACTGAAACATTTGAATTTATATCATTGTTTTATTTTCAACTTCCCCTGATTATTTCCACCATTTTAATTAAGTGATGATAAAGCTATTGAAAACTTAACAAACAATGAAAAGAAATCATTTAAATCAATTTTTATTTTTATTATGTTAGTAATTTTGATCTCAATATTAAATATTATTCAGAAAAATTTTAATAGATTGTAAATGTAAATTGTTTATTTTTTGAATAATAAACTAAGACTAAAGATTTTCCTTCAGTTTTGAAAACTCTATTGTAACAGATATAATAGATGCATTGTTTAAAGTAGAAATATATTTTAATTTACTTTTTAAAACTAAATATTAAAGAAAACAACACAATGGCTATGGAATGCATGTGCATGCATGTAATCCCATTGTGCATCTATAATTTTCTTTAATTAATCAGATTGCTTCATCTCATATGAGTATTTCAAATAATGAAATTAACCAGATTACTAAATTAACCCTAATCTAACATACTGAATTTAAAGTATCCTAATGTAATTTGAAATATAATTAATTAATATATTTCATCAGCAAATAATGCCATCTTGGAACAAAAACTATAAACAATACTTTCAAGAATATTATAATTATAAAAATCAGCAAAAATTATTAATTATAAATTCACATTAAAAATTGGAAATTTTGTGGTTCTGCTGTTTTCTGTAGCAGCATAGTTTTAAATGGATTTTAATATCACAATATAATGTGCAGAATTCTAAGTGACTCAGTATTTTGAGAAAATGAGATCATGTCAAATTGCTGAAGAATTTTTCCAGGCAGAGTGTATCCTGTTATATAATTTATGTTCCTTAAATTTAAAAGAAATATTCAATTAGAATGAGTTTAGAATGTTTTTCATATTGTGCAGATCTGATTATGGAATTGAAGATGATTTCAAAAATATTAATATTTATATAATTAAAATATTTTTAGACTCCATAAACAATTTGAATGTGTTAGGTATTTCTTTTGTAAACTTATGGCGCTGTCTTATAACATGAATCATTTCAGATATATTAATAGGCATTATCAGATTTGAATATGAATCCTAAAGAACAAAAACATCACAAGTTTGTTAGGGAAACACAGCAAAAATTTGCATTGTTTTTGTTATAAAACATCTATATTCAAACCTGATGATGCTAAATACTAATGTAACTGGGTTAAAATAAATGCTGGATTTTAAAGGTTTGTATTTAATTTTTTAAGTATGTAATTATTATTTTTAATTTTTATACATTTTAAATAATTAAAAATAAAATTATAATAAGTTTATGTACTTTGTGTATGCATTAGTGATGTAATGAATATTCGGTTACTATTCAACCGAATACCGAATACCTAAAAACAGAAGTAAGAAATAACAAAAACACAGTAAATTAATCATTTTGGTATTTAGATTTAATGTTATCGGGTTAATGTTGTTTGTTTATATTTATTTATAACTTATAACATGCACAAAATAAAAAAGAAAATAATATTAGTCACATGTATTCACAATTTATAATTACAAAGATCAGCACACGTACACACCTATTCGTTCGAAAATCGTCGCACATATGAGGGTCTGACCCTGCCTATCCTTCTTTTTAAGCGCTCGTCTTTGCTCTTCCCTTTCTCTTTCCTCTATCGCTCTAGTCCACGTATGCCTATACATACATCATAATACGCACTTACAATACTTTTGATTCGTCACTTTTTCATTGTAGATTTCCCATTTTACAATTACGTGACTCATAGCCTGGTGATAACGGTGAAAAGAGACAGATAGGACGTCTGTATAAGTCACAGTTATGATTTCACTGATTCGAGACAGCTTGGTAGCCCGAACAGCCCCAGGCTTTCACCCGTGCATGCTACGTGACTTTCATTACAAGCATTTAGCTTTCCGAAGTCTATGACAACAATTGTTTGGCATTGATGGCTGCGAATTTCGTGCCAATAAGCTGCCTCGACTTATTCGATTATGTTATCAACTCAATTTCATATTTATTTTCACATTTTCTTGGTCCTTTTCTGTTATTTTTCTGTTATTTACACGTGTAGGTCATTTCATTGTTATCCACATTTGATATTATCATTTATCACATACTGCCATGACGCTCTTGTCTGTCCGCTACAACTGTCAAGAATTAACGTGATTGGCAAAGTGTAGTGATAGCGGGCCAATAGAGAGCAGGGTCCTTGCCATAATGTGGTTTGCATGTCAATTTTCATATGTGCGTTAATCAAGCCAAATAGTTTGGCCAAATATTTGGCTATTCGGCCACGCTCCTGGCCGAATATTTGGTATTCGGCCTGAGGCCAAATATACTATTCATTTCAACACTAGTATGCATATTTTGTCTTTAATTAATCAAATATGGAATTTGTTAATTTTTTAAAAATAGATTTTAAAACAAAAATGTCTGGGGATAATGATTGATTTTTGGATATAAAATTATATATAGCAATATATATAATTTTTTAATATTGCCTGTATAATCAAAAGTCTAATATAAATATTAAAGATAATTTAAGTAGAAACTATAAAATTCATAAGAGTCTTCTAATAGTTGCAAGTTTTTATATGATTCTGATGTCATGATCAAAATACAATAACAGTTGTTATAACATGATGAATATGAATTAAAAATTCTGAGTCTTATTTTATTTTATACATTTTTTTCTTGTCTTGATTTATTTTGTTTCCAATTACATTTTTTTCTCTAATGAGAAAAAAATGTAAAATGGTAAGTGAAAAATGAGAAAAGCATATGATAAGTAAAAATTAATATTTATTCACTAATACACTGTATATTTACTAATTATCAATTATTAACAATATAATTTACAAATTAACAATGTACAGTAGAATCTTGATTATCAAGCTCTAATTAACTGAGATTTTACATTATCTGAGGCAAACCTGCAAGTGAATACACTATTTTTCTTATAATTCATAAAAGCTTTGTCATGAATTCATCACCCATGTAAATATTTTAGTACTTTTAACTTTGACTGTACTGAGCGAGTAGCTGATGCTATGGTGACTATTATTATTATTATTATTTTTTAAACTATTTTTACCCTTGAGACACTAAGAAGGTTGTTTTTTTCATGCTCATTATGGGTTTGATCAGGTTCACAATGAGGATAGTTAGGTGGTAAGGGATGGAATCTGACACATCTGGAACAGACCAATCATGAAAAGTGATGCTGAGGTGATTGCAGAATATTATGGT